GAAGCACAAATTTCTAGTATGGATGGATGCTTTGGCGATTACACAAGGAAAGGATTGCCCGTGGAGTTAGCCGCTTACGTGAGAGTTTATCATTTCCAACTGATGATATTCTCGAAGCTAGGGTATCATCAAACGAAGTATTCAGATGTGTTTTGCATGGTTGGGGGGAAGATGAGGACTGCATGCTGTGGCACGAGTTTCAGGAGGTGAAAAAGATTAAGGCAAATAGAGCCGGCTTTGAACTTCGAGAAATGGGTTGGAAAACTCTACAAGAAAGTATGGACCATATTGTACCAATAAAATTTTTGAAGGCAAGAATTCTTGAACTGGGTGTCAATAAATATGGTACTGTTCAACCGGGGCTTGGAAGGTCGATGCTTGATCTAGACCATTGCATTCTATATTGTACTTGGTGCGATTATCATGATAAAATGCTGTTAAAAAATTATAAAATCTTGATGCAAGTGGCTGAAGATGGCAAACAGAAGGCATTTCTTAATGGGAAAGACTGGCAGTATATGCAATTAGAATTTATTATCTGTTTCAGATGTTGTCCAACACTAAGTCAGCTGCAAGCTCGCTTACGATTCGTACTGAACAAATGATGTAAAAGTTTGAGTTATGTATTTCTAGCAAGGATATGCCAAAACTATTTTTATGTATTGTAGCTTAACTACCAATTTCCTTCATTAGTAAGACAGTTTTTTCCTTTATAGCATTTTCACTTTATTTTTCTATTATTTATCGCAAACAATGGTGGAGTAATCTGTGTTGAATGTGGATGCTATTAGAAGCTTAGGAAATTGGTTGTTAAAATCAAAGGGGAGGTCTGAATATGTATAAATTCAAAGTATGTATTAACTTAAAAAAAAATTAATATTTTAAGAGGTTATGTGACATTACATAGAGTTTTCTAGATTTAGTAGTATGACATTCAAGATGAGTATGTAATAAAATACAGTCTTCTTTAATGATTATACTATAAAGTGAATTTATACAGCATGATGGTTATGTGAACAACGACGTATTATGTGACATTATAGAGCAGCACATCTTGAATGTGACCTTATACAACATTTCTTAATTATTGTTATATTTTCAGGTGAAATGGCAAGTGAACAACGACGTCGTAGAAAGAAACGTACGACCGATGAGCCCTCAGGAGAGCCCTAAGGAGAGGGTGGTAGTCATGCACCACCTCCAACTCAGATTCATCCTAATATTGCTTCGCTACGTGGTACACATAGAGCAGCACATCCTGATGGGGTACATCAAATATTTACTGAACTTTTTTATGATTATACTATATATTTAAGGTCTTGCTTACTAATTATATGTCTTTGTAGGGAACAATATTGGAAGCAGCATCACATCTTCTGATGGTGCACGAATGGCCGGTGAATTGCCCAAGATTTATGGATGCTTTAAGAATGATTGGGCTAGATTGTGTTAGCCAAATGAGATATTTACGGATGGACCACCATTTGTTGACAGCCTTAGTGGAGAGGTGGTCACCACAGACAAATAGTTTTCACCTTACTGTTGGCGAGTTGACTATTACCTTGCAGGATGTAGCTATGATTTTGGGGGTCCATATAGATGGTCCTGCTTTGGTAGGACATGCTG